AAATTTCCGTGAAAAATGATGCCGTCAAATTTCAGTCCGGATGGCGCGGGAACGACTACCCCGCACAGTTATAAGCCCGCATCCCTAAATCTCACGCGACGGCCCTTCTGTACGGACAAGTGAGGAGAAGGCAAGTGTTGCAACACTGCAACAAGTTCTGGAGCTCCTCTACTAGCATGGTTAGTACAGACACCTAGCCGGAGGACAACGACGTGGTGATCTACTTGATATGCGGTTTCCAAAGATGTCAGATAATGTTGTTCTGAGCCTGGATAAGTAGCGCGGACGGCGAGTGCATGACGTTGTAAAGAGACGATGAATGAACATATAGAGCAACATAAGAAGTAGGCGGGAGGATAGTGAATAATGATGGATGGAGACTTCAGTAACAAGAACGAGTCTTGCCACTTCACATACGTCGTTAAATGAGAGTACACGTCACACAGAAGCTGTACCAGCATACGCGCAAGTACGACAATTGAGGATCTCCATGTAACTCATGCAGTTTGAGAGCACCAACACTGCTTACTCTGCCCAGCAGTTAAACTGTCCACACCCACTCATTCTGTGCATCCCATTGTTCTGCTTGTCTAATGTTTCTATTCGTCCGATCATCTCCGATGAAATTTCCGTGGAAAATGATGCCGTCAAATTTCAGTCCGGATGGCGCGGGAACGACTACCCCGCACAGTTATAAGCCCGCATCCCTAAATCTCACGCGACGGCCCTTCTGTACGGACAAGTGAGGAGAAGGCAAGTGTTGCAACACTGCAACAAGTTCTGGAGCTCCTCTACTAGCATGGTTAGTACAGACACCTAGCCGGAGGACAACGACGTGGTGATCTACTTGATATGCGGTTTCCAAAGATGTCAGATAATGTTGTTCTGAGCCTGGATAAGTAGCGCGGACGGCGAGTGCATGACGTTGTAAAGAGACGATGAATGAACATATAGAGCAACATAAGAAGTAGGCGGGAGGATAGTGAATAATGATGGATGGAGACTTCAGTAACAAGAACGAGTCTTGCCACTTCACATACGTCGTTAAATGAGAGTACACGTCACACAGAAGCTGTACCAGCATACGCGCAAGTACGACAATTGAGGATCTCCATGTAACTCATGCAGTTTGAGAGCACCAACACTGCTTACTCTGCCCAGCAGTTAAACTGTCCACACCCACTCATTCTGTGCATCCCATTGTTCTGCTTGTCTATTGTTTCTATTCGTCCAATCATCTCCGATGAAATTTCCGTGAAAAATGATGCCGTCAAATTTCAGTCCGGATGGAGCGGGAACGACTACCCCGCACAGTTATAAGCCCGCATCCCTAAATCTCACGCGACGGCTCTTCTGTACGGACAAGTGAGGAGAAGGCAAGTGTTGCAACACTGCAACAAGTTCTGGAGCTCCTCTACTAGCATGGTTAGTACAGACACCTAGCCGGAGGACAACGACGTGGTGATCTACTTGATATGCGGTTTCCAAAGATGTCAGATAATGTTGTTCTGAGCCTGGATAAGTAGCGCGGACGGCGAGTGCATGACGTTGTAAAGAGACGATGAATGAACATATAGAGCAACATAAGAAGTAGGCGGGAGGATAGTGAATAATGATGGATGGAGACTTCAGTAACAAGAACGAGTCTTGCCACTTCACATACGTCGTTGAATGAGAGTACACGTCACACAGAAGCTGTACCAGCATACGCGCAAGTACGACAATTGAGGATCTCCATGTAACTCATGCAGTTTGAGAGCACCAACACTGCTTACTCTGCCCAGCAGTTAAACTGTCCACACCCACTCATTCTGTGCATCCCATTGTTCTGCTTGTCTAATGTTTCTATTCGTCCGATCATCTCCGATGAAATTTACGTGGAAAATGATGCCGTCAAGTTACATTCCAGATGGCGCGGGAACGACTACCCCGCACAGTTATAAGCCCGCATCCCTAAATCTCACGCGACGGACCTTCTGTACGGACAAGTGAGGAGAAGGCAAGTGTTGCAACACTGCAACAAGTTCTGGAGCTCCTCTACTAGCATGGTTAGTACAGACACCTAGCCGGAGGACAACGACGTGGTGATCTACTTGATATGCGGTTTCCAAAGATGTCAGATGATGTTGTTCTGAGCCTGGACAAGTAGCGCGGACGGCGAGTGCATGACGTTGTAAAGAGACGATGAATGAACATATAGAGCAACATAAGAAGTAGGCGGGAGGATAGTGAATAATGATGGATGGAGACTTCAGTAACAAGAACGAGTCTTGCCACTTCACATACGTCGTTGAATGAGAGTACACGTCACACAGAAGCTGTACCAGCATACGCGCAAGTACGACAATTGAGGATCTCCATGTAACTCATGCAGTTTGAGAGCACCAACACTGCTTACTCTGCCCAGCAGTTAAACTGTCCACACCCACTCATTCTGTGCATCCCATTGTTCTGCTTGTCTATTGTTTCTATTCGTCCAATCATCTCCGATGAAATTTCCGTGAAAAATGATGCCGTCAAATTTCAGTCCGGATGGAGCGGGAACGACTACCCCGCACAGTTATAAGCCCGCATCCCTAAATCTCACGCGACGGCTCTTCTGTACGGACAAGTGAGGAGAAGGCAAGTGTTGCAACACTGCAACAAGTTCTGGAGCTCCTCTACTAGCATGGTTAGTACAGACACCTAGCCGGAGGACAACGACGTGGTGATCTACTTGATATGCGGTTTCCAAAGATGTCAGATTATGTTGTTCTGAGCCTGGACAAGTAGCGCGGACGGCGAGTGCATGACGTTGTAAAGAGACGATGAATGAACATATAGAGCAACATAAGAAGTAGGCGGGAGGATAGTGAATAATGATGGATGGAGACTTCAGTAACAAGAACGAGTCTTGCCACTTCACATACGTCGTTGAATGAGAGTACACGTCACACAGAAGCTGTACCAGCATACGCGCAAGTACGACAATTGAGGATCTCCATGTAACTCATGCAGTTTGAGAGCACCAACACTGCTTACTCTGCCCAGCAGTTAAACTGTCCACACCCACTCATTCTGTGCATCCCATTGTTCTGCTTGTCTAATGTTTCTATTCGTCCGATCATCTCCGATGAAATTTCCGTGGAAAATGATGCCGTCAAATTTCAGTCCGGATGGAGCGGGAACGACTACCCCGCACAGTTATAAGCCCGCATCCCTAAATCTCACGCGACGGCCCTTCTGTACGGACAAGTGAGGAGAAGGCAAGTGTTGCAACACTGCAACAAGTTCTGGAGCTCCTCTACTAGCATGGTTAGTACAGACACCTAGCCAGAGGACAACGACGTGGTGATCTACTTGATATGCGGTTTCCAAAGATGTCAGATAATGTTGTTCTGAGCCTGGATAAGTAGCGCGGACGGCGAGTGCATGACGTTGTAAAGAGACGATGAATGAACATATAGAGCAACATAAAAAGTAGGCGGGAGGATAGTGAATGATGATGGATGGAGACTTCAGTAGCAAGAACGAGTCTTGCCACTTCACATACGTCGTTGAATGAGAGTACACGTCACACAGAAGCTGTACCAGCATACGCGCAAGTACGACAATTGAGGATCTCCATGTAACTCATGCAGTTTGAGAGCACCAATACTGCTTACTCTGCCCAGCAGTTAAACTGTCCACACCCACTCATTCTGTGCATCCCATTGTTCTGCTTGTCTAATGTTTCTATTCGTCCGATCATCTCCGATGAAATTTACGTGGAAAATGATGCCGTCAAGTTACATTTTAGATGGCGCGGGAACGACTACCCCGCACAGTTATAAGCCGGCATCCCTAAATCTCACGCAACAGCTGTTCTGTACGGACAAGTGAGGAGAAGGCAAGTGTTGCAACACTGCAACAAGTTCCGGAGCTCCTCTACTAGCATGGTTAGTACAGACACCTAGCCAGAGGACAACGACGTGGTGATCTACTTGATATGCGGTTTCCAAAGATGTCAGATAATGTTGTTCTGAGCCTGGATAAGTAGCGCGGACGGCGAGTGCATGACGTTGTAAAGAGACGATGAATGAACATATAGAGCAACATAAGAAGTAGGCGGGAGGATAGTGAATGATGATGGATGGAGACTTCAGTAACAAGAACGAGTCTTGCCACTTCACATACGTCGTTGAATGAGAGTACACGTCACACAGAAGCTGTACCAGCATACGCGCAAGTACGACAATTGAGGATCTCCATGTAACTCATGCAGTTTGAGAGCACCAATACTGCTTACTCTGCCCAGCAGTTAAACTGTCCACACCCACTCATTCTGTGCATCCCATTGTTCTGCTTGTCTATTGTTTCTATTCGTCCGATCATCTCCGATGAAATTTCCGTGAGAAATGATGCCGTCAAATTTCAGTCCGGATGGAGCGAAAACGACTATACCGCACAGTTATAAGCCCGCATCCCTAAATCTCACGCGACGGACCTTCTGTACGGACAAGTGAGGAGAAGGCAAGTGTTGCAACACTGCAACAAGTTCTGGAGCTCCTCTACTAGCATGGTTAGTACAGACACCTAGCCGGAGGACAACGACGTGGTGATCTACTTGATATGCGGTTTCCAAAGATGTCAGATAATGTTGTTCGGAGCCTGGATAAGTAGCGCGGGACGGCGAGTGCATGACGTTGTAAAGAGACGATGAATGAACATATAGAGCAACATAAGAAGTAGGCGGGAGGATAGTGAATAATGATGGATGGAGACTTCAGTAACAAGAACGAGTCTTGCCACTTCACATACGTCGTTGAATGAGAGTACACGTCACACAGAAGCTGTACCAGCATACGCGCAAGTACGACAATTGAGGATCTCCATGTAACTCATGCAGTTTGAGAGCACCAATACTGCTTACTCTGCCCAGCAGTTAAACTGTCCACACCCACTCATTCTGTGCATCCCATTGTTCTGCTTGTCTAATGTTTCTATTTGTCCAATCATCTCCGATGAAATTTCCGTGGAAAATGATGCCGTCAAATTTCAGTCCGGATGGAGCGGGAACGACTACCCCGCACAGTTATAAGCCCGCATCCCTAAATCTCACGCGACGGCTCTTCTGTACGGACAAGTGAGGAGAAGGCAAGTGTTGCAACACTGCAACAAGTTCTGGAGCTCCTCTACTAGCATGGTTAGTACAGACACCTAGCCGGAGGACAACGACGTGGTGATCTACTTGATATGCGGTTTCCAAAGATGTCAGATAATGTTGTTCTGAGCCTGGATGAGTAGCGCGGGACGGCGAGTGCATGACGTTGTAAAGAGACGATGAATGAACATATAGAGCAACATAAGAAGTAGGCGGGAGGATAGTGAATAATGATGGATGGAGACTTCAGTAACAAGAACGAGTCTTGCCACTTCACATACGTCGTTAAATGAGAGTACACGTCACACAGAAGCTGTACCAGCATACGCGCAAGTACGACAATTGAGGATCTCCATGTAACTCATGCAGTTTGAGAGCACCAACACTGCTTACTCTGCCCAGCAGTTAAACTGTCCACACCCACTCATTCTGTGCATCCCATTGTTCTGCTTGTCTAATGTTTCTATTCGTCCGATCATCTCCGATGAAATTTCCGTGAAAAATGATGCCGTCAAATTTCAGTCCGGATGGAGCGGGAACGACTACCCCGCACAGTTATAAGCCCGCATCCCTAAATCTCACGCGACGGCCCTTCTGTACGGACAAGTGAGGAGAAGGCAAGTGTTGCAACACTGCAACAAGTTCTGGAGCTCCTCTACTAGCATGGTTAGTACAGACACCTAGCCGGAGGACAACGACGTGGTGATCTACTTGATATGCGGTTTCCAAAGATGTCAGATAATGTTGTTCTGAGCCTGGATGAGTAGCGCGGACGGCGAGTGCATGACGTTGTAAAGAGACGATGAATGAACATATAGAGCAACATAAGAAGTAGGCGGGAGGATAGTGAATAATGATGGATGGAGACTTCAGTAACAAGAACGAGTCTTGCCACTTCACATACGTCGTTAAATGAGAGTACACGTCACACAGAAGCTGTACCAGCATACGCGCAAGTACGACAATTGAGGATCTCCATGTAACTCATGCAGTTTGAGAGCACCAACACTGCTTACTCTGCCCAGCAGTTAAACTGTCCACACCCACTCATTCTGTGCATCCCATTGTTCTGCTTGTCTAATGTTTCTATTCGTCCGATCATCTCCGATGAAATTTCCGTGAAAAATGATGCCGTCAAATTTCAGTCCGGATGGAGCGGGAACGACTACCCCGCACAGTTATAAGCCCGCATCCCTAAATCTCACGCGACGGCCCTTCTGTACGGACAAGTGAGGAGAAGGCAAGTGTTGCAACACTGCAACAAGTTCTGGAGCTCCTCTACTAGCATGGTTAGTACAGACACCTAGCCGGAGGACAACGACGTGGTGATCTACTTGATATGCGGTTTCCAAAGATGTCAGATAATGTTGTTCTGAGCCTGGATGAGTAGCGCGGGACGGCGAGTGCATGACGTTGTAAAGAGACGATGAATGAACATATAGAGCAACATAAGAAGTAGGCGGGAGGATAGTGAATAATGATGGATGGAGACTTCAGTAACAAGAACGAGTCTTGCCACTTCACATACGTCGTTAAATGAGAGTACACGTCACACAGAAGCTGTACCAGCATACGCGCAAGTACGACAATTGAGGATCTCCATGTAACTCATGCAGTTTGAGAGCACCAATACTGCTTACTCTGCCCAGCAGTTAAACTGTCCACACCCACTCATTCTGTGCATCCCATTGTTCTGCTTGTCTAATGTTTCTATTCGTCCAATCATCTCCGATGAAATTTCCGTGGAAAATGATGCCGTCAAATTTCAGTCCAGATGGAGCGGGAACGACTACCCCGCACAGTTATAAGCCCGCATCCCTAAATCTCACGCGACGGCCCTTCTGTACGGACAAGTGAGGAGAAGGCAAGTGTTGCAACACTGCAACAAGTTCTGGAGCTCCTCTACTAGCATGGTTAGTACAGACACCTAGCCGGAGGACAACGACGTGGTGATCTACTTGATATGCGGTTTCCAAAGATGTCAGATAATGTTGTTCTGAGCCTGGATGAGTAGCGCGGACGGCGAGTGCATGACGTTGTAAAGAGACGATGAATGAACATATAGAGCAACATAAGAAGTAGGCGGGAGGATAGTGAATAATGATGGATGGAGACTTCAGTAACAAGAACGAGTCTTGCCACTTCACATACGTCGTTAAATGAGAGTACACGTCACACAGAAGCTGTACCAGCATACGCGCAAGTACGACAATTGAGGATCTCCATGTAACTCATGCAGTTTGAGAGCACCAACACTGCTTACTCTGCCCAGCAGTTAAACTGTCCACACCCACTCATTCTGTGCATCCCATTGTTCTGCTTGTCTAATGTTTCTATTCGTCCGATCATCTCCGATGAAATTTCCGTGTAAAATGATGCCGTCAAATTTCAGTCCGGATGGAGCGGGAACGACTACCCCGCACAGTTATAAGCCCGCATCCCTAAATCTCACGCGACGGCCCTTCTGTACGGACAAGTGAGGAGAAGGCAAGTGTTGCAACACTGCAACAAGTTCTGGAGCTCCTCTACTAGCATGGTTAGTACAGACACCTAGCCGGAGGACAACGACGTGGTGATCTACTTGATATGCGGTTTCCAAAGATGTCAGATAATGTTGTTCTGAGCCTGGATGAGTAGCGCGGACGGCGAGTGCATGACGTTGTAAAGAGACGATGAATGAACATATAGAGCAACATAAGAAGTAGGCGGGAGGATAGTGAATAATGATGGATGGAGACTTCAGTAACAAGAACGAGTCTTGCCACTTCACATACGTCGTTGAATGAGAGTACACGTTACACAGAAGCTGTACCAGCATACGCGCAATTACGACAATTGAGGATCTCCATGTAACTCATGCAGTCTGAGAGCACCAACACTGCTTACTCTGCCCAGCAGTTAAACTGTCCACACCCACTCATTCTGTGCATCCCATTGTTCTGCTTGTCTAATGTTTCTATTCGTCCAATCATCTCCGGCGACATTTCCAACTAAAATGATGCCGTCAATTTCCATTCCAGATGGCGCGGGAACGACTACCCCGCACAGTTATAAGCCCGCATCCCTAAATCTCACGCGACGGCCCTTCTGTACGGACAAGTGAGGAGAAGGCAAGTGTTGCAACACTGCAACAAGTTCTGGAGCTCCTCTACTAGCATGGTTAGTACAGACACCTAGCCGGAGGACAACGACGTGGTGATCTACTTGATATGCGGTTTCCAAAGATGTCAGATAATGTTGTTCTGAGCCTGGATGAGTAGCGCGGACGGCGAGTGCATGACGTTGTAAAGAGACGATGAATGAACATATAGAGCAACATAAGAAGTAGGCGGGAGGATAGTGAATAATGATGGATGGAGACTTCAGTAACAAGAACGAGTCTTGCCACTTCACATACGTCGTTAAATGAGAGTACACGTCACACAGAAGCTGTACCAGCATACGCGCAAGTACGACAATTGAGGATCTCCATGTAACTCATGCAGTTTGAGAGCACCAATACTGCTTACTCTGCCCAGCAGTTAAACTGTCCACACCCACTCATTCTGTGCATCCCATTGTTCTGCTTGTCTAATGTTTCTATTCGTCCAATCATCTCCGGTGAAATTTCCGATGGAAAATGATGCCGTCAAATTTCAGTCCGGATGGAGCGGGAACGACTACCCCGCACAGTTATAAGCCCGCATCCCTAAATCTCACGCGACGGCTCTTCTGTACGGACAAGTGAGGAGAAGGCAAGTGTTGCAACACTGCAACAAGTTCTGGAGCTCCTCTACTAGCATGGTTAGTACAGACACCTAGCCGGAGGACAACGACGTGGTGATCTACTTGATATGCGGTTTCCAAAGATGTCAGATAATGTTGTTCTGAGCCTGGATGAGTAGCGCGGACGGCGAGTGCATGACGTTGTAAAGAGACGATGAATGAACATATAGAGCAACATAAGAAGTAGGCGGGAGGATAGTGAATAATGATGGATGGAGACTTCAGTAACAAGAACGAGTCTTGCCACTTCACATACGTCGTTAAATGAGAGTACACGTCACACAGAAGCTGTACCAGCATACGCGCAAGTACGACAATTGAGGATCTCCATGTAACTCATGCAGTTTGAGAGCACCAACACTGCTTACTCTGCCCAGCAGTTAAACTGTCCACACCCACTCATTCTGTGCATCCCATTGTTCTGCTTGTCTAATGTTTCTATTCGTCCAATCATCTCCGATGAAATTTCCGTGAAAAATGATGCCGTCAAATTTCAGTCCGATGGAGCGGGAACGACTACCCCGCACAGTTATAAGCCCGCATCCCTAAATCTCACGCGACGGCCCTTCTGTACGGACAAGTGAGGAGAAGGCAAGTGTTGCAACACTGCAACAAGTTCTGGAGCTCCTCTACTAGCATGGTTAGTACAGACACCTAGCCGGAGGACAACGACGTGGTGATCTACTTGATATGCGGTTTCCAAAGATGTCAGATAATGTTGTTCTGAGCCTGGATGAGTAGCGCGGACGGCGAGTGCATGACGTTGTAAAGAGACGATGAATGAACATATAGAGCAACATAAGAAGTAGGCGGGAGGATAGTGAATAATGATGGATGGAGACTTCAGTAACAAGAACGAGTCTTGCCACTTCACATACGTCGTTAAATGAGAGTACACGTCACACAGAAGCTGTACCAGCATACGCGCAAGTACGACAATTGAGGATCTCCATGTAACTCATGCAGTTTGAGAGCACCAACACTGCTTACTCTGCCCAGCAGTTAAACTGTCCACACCCACTCATTCTGTGCATCCCATTGTTCTGCTTGTCTAATGTTTCTATTCGTCCAATCATCTCCGATGAAATTTCCGATGGAAAATGATGCCGTCAAATTTCAGTCCGGATGGAGCGGGAACGACTACCCCGCACAGTTATAAGCCCGCATCCCTAAATCTCACGCGACGGACCCTTCTGTACGGACAAGTGAGGAGAAGGCAAG